GAGGGAGAGAGGGAGAGAGGGAGAGAGGGAGAGAGGGAGAGAGAGAGAGAATACACTGCATGACCTGGTAGCCGTTTCCTCCATCTCATTTACAATGTCTCCTCGCTGCACTATTTGCCTTTGTCTTTAATTTAATGTCTCTCTTGCCCTCGGGACTGAATCCAGGACCTTGTGCATGTTAAGTACACTCTGTTGCTGAGTGGCTGCGCCCCAGCTTATTTTTGTGCTGTTTTGCTTGTCCTGGCTCTCCCAGCAATAAGCTGCACTATGCACATTCCCACACGGCCTCAGCGTGCAGCCAGCTCTACCTCTTGGGTTACCTTAGTATACTCTAAGGTATACTACAGTTCGCACAGTGAGGAAATCGCCTGGTACTTCCTTTCTCAGAAGGCAGCCCTGTCATTAGGCACTACAGGACTGTAGTTACAGGGGACCCTTGACTGATGAACTCAATTCGTTCCTGAGGGCTGGGTGTAACTCAAGGTGTCCACTGAAGGCTCAGGCTCCTCCACACAGTGTGAAGGTCTCTGTGCCGCACAGGCAGATCTCGGTGTCCTTAGAGAGACATCGGGCCAGGATTTCTCAATTAACCCCACACAGGAAAGGATGCTGTAACGTTCTACCAGAGCTCCTTAAGGATTACATCTGTATCTGGGACCAGTTGTAAGAACAAGCGGCCAGCATTTGGGCCATAATTGAAGACTGCTTGTGAGTTAAAATTCTGGTCACAACTCAAGTTGTTTATAGGTCAGGCTGGTCCTAACTCAAGGGTCCACTGCTTTCAAGGGCACCTTGGGGCTGCTCCTCTAAGCTGGCCTGTGGGCAGAGGCCTGAATAAAAGGCACAGTCAGCCTGGCGGATCTCTGGGTGAAGAGTGTCCCAAGCGGCGGACCTCAGACTGGAACTTTCTCAGTGTGCTAACATACAAGGTTGGGTATGAAGCTCAAAGCCAGCACAAGGGAGGGAAAATGAGTTTTCGTGTGGGCAACAGGGAAGGAAATCAGCCTGGGCGGCCTAAGGGTTGGGCAGGACCTGGAGTAGGGAAGGAGAGAAGTAAGCAGAAGAAGAGTGCAGGCAGGGTGAGAGGACAGGGACTGAAGGGGTGACCAACCGACAGTCAGTCTAAAAAATATCTGTGAGCCAGAAGTTTTGATGTTTCCAAGGAGCAGAGCCAGCACGAATGGGTACAAAGTCCAAGTAGGCAGAAATCCACTCAATAGGAGAACAGGCTCTCACCGAAGGACTTGCCTGGAAATGGGATGGGCAGCTGAGGTCCCCTCACCTCTCAGATTCCACAGAAAGTCCTCTTAGCATTTCACACCTCTGTTTTCTCACTTAAGCATAGCAGGTACCTTGCTGAGTTTTCCTTGAACTGGGACACAGTTTATGGTGTTTTTTTTTTTTTTTTTTTTTGGCAGAACAGGGGATTGAACTCAGGCCCTTGAGCTTGCCAGGACTGAGCTATCTCCCCAGCCCCTGGGACACAGTTTAGAGTTGGTAAGGACTGATATTCTCTGAGGATACTCGTTCCTTAGCTGACGAGTTCTTCCTGGCAGGGAGTTTCTCTGGTTTAGAGGGCTCTAATTTCCTCAAACAGAAGCTTCTGGCTGTCTTTCTTTCCCTCTGTCCCTTGCTATCTGTCTCTGTCTCTCTGTCACACACACACACACACACACACACACACACACCCATTTTCTACCAGCATAAAGAAGAGCAGAGAGGCACCCCACCCCCACCCTGCCGTATACCATCAGGTTTACAAGGTAAGTTCCTGCACGCCCATCCCTGGCCTTCTAGGCAGAGGTGATCGGCGGCCCCCCTGTAGTGGCCCTTAAGTACCTTCCTCCGGGCTCCTCTCAGGCCCTCAGTGGCAGGCTCCACTGTGCTGGTCCGTTTCTCTCCCGCAGTCTCCTCTAAGCCCACCTCCCCAATTGCCAGGGGCAGAGCTAGGCTGAGGCAGCAGCGCGGGAGGGGACAGGCACTCCGCACTGAGCAGGCCCAGGGTGAGCACGGGGTGAGGGCTCTGGGCTCGCGGATCTCTAGGAGCACACGGCAGTTATGCCCCACACTGAAAGCAGCCGTGCTCAAAGACGCCTCAGGGTCTGTGTTTTGTTCTGACCAGGAAGCCTGCTCAAGGCTCCCTGCGAATCCTCTTCATTCAAGCCAGCCCTATCATCCGTGTTGCGTTCTGGCACAGGTAGGAACAGCCTTTCATAGACGGTACTTAAAAGCTCTCAGGAAGCCATTTCTCCTGCCCAAGACTGTCTGGGGAAATGCGGCTGAGCATCCCAGAGCCAGCCGGACTGCAGCACACTCTCTCCTTCCCTCATCATGTGGGGGCAGGCCTCACCTCCTCAAACGCAGCATCCGGAAGCTCTCTCCCTGCTCTCCCTCAGGGTGCTAAGCCTGTTGCTCACCACTCCCATTCTCCTGCCTGCCGCTGCAGCCCCAGTACTAAATAAGACGGTGGCTGGCAAAGACCAGCCCACTGGGGTTCAAATTTGGCAGTGCTTAAAAAAAAAAATCTCTCCGGGGCCGGCCAGATAGCTCAGTGGACTAGAGTGCCTGCTTAGGAAGGTGCAGGGGCTGGGCTTGAACTCTGGCATGCAATGCCGTCCCCGCCCCCAGGCGCGCTGAGATTGGAGACTGAGACTGGGCGTGGTGGCACTCGCCTGTAATCCCAGCTCCTGGGAGGCTGAAAACAGGAGGATCACTATGAGCCTGATCTGTGTAGTGAGACCCTGTAGACCCTGCACTAAAAACAAAAATAAAAACAAAATCTGCCCCACCCAGGCCCCGCCTACGCCCCACCTGGTGTTCAGGTTGTCCTGGTATGTTTTCACTTCTCTGCTGCGGGGGTGGCTGCTCTCCATCAGGTTGTTGGCAGCAAGGTTCACACCATCAATCTGATCCTTCAAAGTCTTCATCTCCTGATCGAGGATGACGAACCTGATAGGACAGAGAATGAGGACAGTGAGGCAGGCCGATGCTTGCCTGCCAGGGGCCCCAGTCTCCACCACCCCCACCTCCCCAGCTGTGCCTGCACCTTGCTCCCCTCCCGAATGCGGGGCGGGTTCAGGCTTCTGGCTGCCCCTAGACACCTCATTCCACTACGCTGACACCTTGGTCCCCCCAGCTAAGTGCTCCATTCTTGGGTAGGATAAGGAGAAGCTGTGGAGGGCATGTGGCTACAAAGGTGGACCCTTCTTGGGGAAAGAGTCCAGGACTCAGTGGCTAGCATCAGGGTGGGGTCAGCTGGACACAACCGTTGTGCTCCTCCTTGCTTTCCTAGCTCCATGCAGCCTGGGCACACCTTCCTGCCAGGGTCCTGGTGGCCTCGGAATACTGCAAGGCAGGGTGGCCTTGGAAATGGGTGGATTATGAGCTGGTCTCTGTGGCACCTGTGGCTTAGGGACCGCTGGTCTCTGTGGCACCTGTGGCTTAGAGGAACCTAGAGGCGGTGGTGTGTCAGCCTCTCGGCCCCACCATATCCACGGCAGCTCCACCTTTCCTCTGCATCGCATAGGATTCCACATAGACCTCACTGAGCAATGGCTGCTGTAGCTGAGAAAAAAATAATTGGACTAGGACATCCCTTATATCTGAGGAATCCAAGACCTCCATGGGTGAAGTACTTAAGGCCTCAAAGGCAGAACAGAACTCACAACATTTTTTTAAAAAAATGTATTTGGTGGGCCGGGGAGATGGCTCAGTAGAATAAGCACTTCCCTGGCAAGCACAAGAGTCTGAGTTCAATCCCCTCCCCGCTTCCACCAAAAAAAAAAAAAAAAAAAAAAGTATTTGGTATAGGGTCTCACTTTGCATCTTAGACTCATAGTGATCCTCCTGTTTTCAGCCTCCCCAGTGCTGGGATTACAGGCATGTGCCACTATGCCCAGTTTCACTGGCAGCTCAGCATGCCTGGGGGTGGGGCAGACAAGGTTTGTGGTGCTGGGGCTTGAACTCTGGTCCCTGTGTTTGCCTAAGCAGGCACTTAGTCCCCTGAGCTATCTTGCCGGCCCCAGAACTCATGCCTCTTTGTTATGGTTTGTGTATAGGTGTCCTCCCAAAGCCTCATGCAGTCTTGGGGTGGCTTCTGGAGTTTTTGATTGATTGTTGAGGGTGTGGATGCGGCACCTGCCCTGGCGCAGGTAATTTGCATTTCAATGTAAGGAGGGAAGAGAAGTTAGCTGCTTGAGCTGCTGCTACTTCTCCCTTTGCGCTCTTGGTTTTCTGCTGTGTGCTGCTCTGCCTTGCAGCCCGCTGAATATGGACAGAAACCTCCAGTAACTGTGAGCTAAATAAACCTTTCCTTCCTTCATTTTGAATGTCGGGTATTTGTCCCAGCAACGAGAAAAGAGTAACTAAGACACTCTTGATGCCTTGATTTTTGTAACAGAGGACATGCTGTGCCCTCTCAAAGAGACCCCTTTTGGGCTAGTGGTGGGAGGTGGGATTCAGACCTGGGTGGGGGAACCAAGGAGAGACTGAGCCACTCTGACCTGTGCTGTACAACGTCCAGGTCCTCCAAGGTGTCTGGGATGTCCATCTGGGTCAGCCACTTCTTCTTCTCCTTCATCCACAGCTGGCAGGCCTCCGACTCCCCAAATACTGTGTACAGGTCCAGAGCTTCCTGTAGCCTTTGTTTCCGCAAGTCTGCCTGGGCCACCACCCGCTGGTAGAGCTCGTGGAGGGTCTGCAGCCGATTGGTCACATCTGGGGAATCCCGGAACTCTTCAGGGAAGCCCTGGGCCTGTTGCTCCAAGTGCTCCATTACCCCACGGCTCTCCTCCAACTCCTCCAGAAAGTCCTTGTGCTTCTTCTCCAGGGCCCGTGTGGCCCCTTCATCCTGCCCCACATCTTCACCTGAGAGTAGCCGGTGGGCATCTTGTAGCCAGGCCTTCAAGTCATCTGCATCACCATGGAACTGGAAGAAGTTCTCTGCATCCCGGAGGTTCTTCTTGCGGAAGTCAGCCAGCTCCTTCAGCTGGTCCCACTGGGCCGACACCTCATTCACGCGGGCCTCGATCTGCGGGTGCCCGAACTGCTTGCGCGCAACCATGCCCTCAGCTTCCTCGAAGATCTGCCTCAGGTGGGCATCCAGCCCTCGGAGCTCATCCTCAAAGGCCTTGTGCTTGCGCTGCAAGATGAGCACGCTGGTCAGGTCCTTGCCGTAGTCCAGGGAGGAATAGATCTGCTCCTTCTCCTTAATCCAGCTCTCAGCCTCATCCATCTCCCAGAAGAACTTCCAGAGCCGCTTTGACTGCTCCAGCTGGGCCTTCCGCCCAGCGGCCATATCACTCAGCTCCCCAAAGCACTGCTGCAGGTGGCTGACTCGGTCCTGGATGACCTGGGGATCGCAAGGCTGGTACCCTGGAAGAACAGGAGGGAGGAGGATAAAGAATGGGAAAGGCTTCCTTTAAGGGCAAGTTTCAGATCCGCTGCCAAGTGAGAACCATACAGTTTCAGAGTTGCTAACCCCTGGGGCTTGGGGATTAGATGCAGGGACCCCAGCTGTTCAAGGCAGGCCAGATTCTTTAACACTGGCTCTCACTAATCTTCAGTAATAAGGGAGATTAAGAGCTGTGTGAATTAGTGAATTCTCGGTAGAAATGCACAACATGATTTTTTTTTTTTTAAACCAGGAATCAAACTCAGGACCTTGCACTTGCCAGGCACGTGCTGTGCCACCAAGCTATAGCCCTGGCAGCATCATTTTTAAAAAGCTCTCAGATATTATATAAATTTAGTGAGATCTCTTATTTAAGACCAGAAACCAGAAACAAATTGTCTCCAGGGCACCTGAACCACAAACACAATGAGAGCAGCTGATGTTTGCTTGGGGCTTGTAAAGGACCCCTCTACCTGCTGAGCTCCAGCGTGGCTGCCTGTCTCCTCAGAACCTTGCCATCCTCCTGCTCTAGCCACCTTTACTTGGTTGATAAAAGGAGAAGAATTCTAAAGACAGTTGCAGGAGATATCTCCCAGGAAGGGCACTGGGCCAAGGAACAGGGCTGTGGCATCGGAGGCCTTGACAGAGGAGCCACCTCGGGCCTCACCTGTGCTCTCGGTGAACGGCAGGGTGGCTGTGGTAATGGCCTTCACCTTGTCCCCTTGGATGGCAATGTCAGCTTCCATCAACTTGTGCTTCTGGAGCAAGTCCTCGGCCTCCAGCAGGTGCTTCCCAAACTCGGAAGACAAGAGGTGAGCCTGGCAAAGACACAGGAGCGGGAACGAAAAGATGGGGGGACAAGAAGGAGCCCTGTGGCCAGGTACCCAAGTCAAGGGAGTGGGGCTGCAGCTTGGGAGGAAGCAGCTGCAGAGCAGGGGTTCTGATTGGGATGCCCAGTGGAATCCCCTAGGGACCCCTATAGCATCTCAAGCCCCATGTTGCTCTGTCTCAAGGCCTGGGCCTGTTTTACAGAGTTGTATGGTCATGCTGATGTGCATCCTCGCTCAAGACCACTGTGGCAGAGGACAGTGTGCATCAGGTTTCTCTGGCTGAGAGATTTGGATGCCAATCAGTGTGAAACCATAATTACTTAGAGCTTGATTCTCCAGGCTCCTAACTAAGGTCCACCTCTCCTAGGCCCTGCAGGCTGGCCCCTGAATGACCACGATCATAAAATCACTTGGTCCCTGAGGACACTCTGGACCTGGGCTGGTGACCTCTGCTGGATGGAGAACAGCGAGCCGAGCAGCAGATGGGCAGACGCAGTCAGACACCATCCTGACTCAGTTTCTCCACTGTGACTCAGGGAAATGGCATTTGGGGAAGGATCTGAGGATGCAGACATAAACTGCAGGGTTCCTGAGGCCCACAGCGAATGCTAAAGGGTGGCGTGTGGGAGCAGCACCCCGCCCACCTTGATCTCGTCCATCCAGTCAATGCTGTGCAGCATGTCCTGGAAGAGCTTCTGCAGTTCCAGGGTGGATTCAAGCCTCTGGCGCCGGGACCGCAGCAGCTCCAACAGGTAGCTCCACAGGCGCAGGATGTTGTCCTTGCGGGCCAGGATGCGCTTCTGGTCATGGTAGTTCTCCTTCTCCAGCTCCTGGGCCAGGTCCTCCAGGGCCTTCACCCGCTCCTCGTAGGCAGCAGTGTCTGTCTCGATGGCCTCGTGCTTCTTCTTGGCAGCCTCCACGGCTGCCAGGTCATACCCGAAATTATCCTGTCCCCGGGGGAAAAGCGGAGGCTGAGTTGGACACTCCAGGCTCCTCCGCATGGCCAGGAAAACTGATTCTTGTGAAAGAGTAGCTTCTGCTGTCTTACAGGAGCTTCTTTTACCAGAGTCAAATTCCCCAAACTAAACATCTCACAAGAACTTCTGAAAGCGGCCTTGTTTTACTCCCTAGCCCACACATATGGGCAACACAGTGTCCCAAACTGTTACTTTAGATTTTTAAAAATCTATCTATCTATCTATCTATCTATCTATCTATCTAATTTATTTGGGACATATTAGACTCACAGTGATCCTCCTGTTTCAGCCTCCCCAGTGCTGGGATTACAGGTATGTGTGACAACACCTAGTTTCAGGGCTGGCATGAAATGCAGTACTGAGGATTGAACTTGGGTCCTTGAACCTGCCAGGCAGGCACTTAGACCGCCACGCTATCACCCCAGCCCCCAAACTGTTGCTTTTTTATTTTTTTAATTAATTTTATTGAGAAACAAATAGCAATGAGACAATTTCAAAACTAATCAGTGAGACAGTTTCAAAACTAATTAATAGGACAGTTTCAATAATTAATACATTGTATATTGTTGTCTTCATAGTGGTTATTCATAGTACAAAATGCAGACATGATATCCTGTCCAAACACTATTAGTACAAATCTTTCTTCTCACTGAATTAAGAGAAAGTAACTGTATATCTATCCTATTTTGTATA